ATCCACATGACAGCAGTAGGATCCAGGCATCCACAAGAGAAGACCAAGCTTTGTCCAAAGAGGAAGAGATGGAGACCGAGTCAGATGCAGAGATAGAATGTGACCTGAGCAATATGGTAATCACCGAAGAGCTCCGCCAGTACTTTGCAGAGACCGAGAGGCACAGAGAAGAACGACGTAAGTTCAGGCCTCTGTTTCTTCATGCTTCCTTTTCTTGCCCTGCCTATTACATTTTTTTCTTCCCTCATATATAAAGTTATTTTATAATTCTTCATTGACTACAGGTGATATTCCAAATCCAGTCCTAAGCCTGGAAAAGCTATGGGGATGCTGTATCTCACTTATGTTAGTTTCTTGAGTTGTTTCAGTATAAGACTTTTTTTGTGTTCCAGAACAAAGCTTATCCTAATAGTAGTTCTACTATTGATTGACCATTAGACACTCCACCAAGTGGAGCATGTACGTGTGCATGCTTGTGTGTATGCACACCCTAATCTACACAACAGTCCCTCAGAGTATTAAACTCATTTTATATGTGAGGAAAGTGAACCTTAAAAAGGTTAACTGACTTGTTCCATGGTACACAACTAGTAATTTGCTGTTAGGATCCAAACCAAATCTGCCTGACTCTACTTCCTCTGCTGCTTTCTCTACACCAGGATTTATCCCTGAGACTGCTAGTTTCCTAAAATTCTTTTGCCATTTTCTCTGGGACACGTCTTGGAGACGTCCTTGGTGCTAGAGGTCCCGAATCTTAAATAGCTTGAACCTAAACAGAATAACGAAATGCCTAGTACTTACAACTTTCCCGTTGGTTCTGCATTGAGGCTCTGTCCATGGAGTTAGAGAATTATAAAGGTCTTATATCTTCAGTCAAAAACAGGACTTTTCTTTTTTAAATTTCTTACCACCTTACTAGAAAGAACTACTTTTGTGCTCTTCTATTAAAATTCACCAGACCATTTCTATTTTAAGTACCTCTATCTGAGATATAAATGCTTCTCTCACTATTATAACCAGTATTCATTCTCAATTTTGTTTTAAGTGAGGTCTAATTTTGTGACATTTTACCTGCAATTTTCCGGTAACACAGAAGCATAGAAACCTGGGAATGGGAGTTTCATTCCTATCTTAAATTGTCAGCATTTTCCCAATGATGAATTAGCTTTTATTGATCCCCACTGGATGCCAAGAACTGAGCACTGGGCTTTTATAAAATATCACATCCTTTAATATCTTTGCCTGTGGATTCTTCACTAAACTACTTGTTCAGGTTTTTTTGGCTTCCTTTCCTTTGATTAAACTGTGTACTTCTTTAATGCATATTAGAAAGTATATCCAGCCAGGTGTGGTGGCACATGCCTGTAGTCCCAGCAACTCAGGAGGATAGCTTGAGCCCAGGAGTTTGAGGCTGCAGTGAGCCATGATCACAGCACTGCACTCCAGCCTAGGCAACAGAGTGAGACCCTGTCTCAAAGAAAAAAAAGAAAGAGAAAAAGAAAAAAGTATATCCAAACAAGTATTTTTAAGACAGTACTTTCTATTACACATAGAATACTTTTCCTTGATCTCCAGAAATACCTTTTACCCTTTTTAAAAATATAGATATGAAACAACTGTTAGTCTAATCTAAAGTGTACAACAAATGAGGGAGAGCACGCATTGGAACATGTCCACATTTGGTTGGAATGCTGTTTGTTACAGCTTTTGACAAAGAAAATGGGATAGAGATAAAGGTTTATTATTCTTGTCCTTACCAGAAAGTAGAGTAACATGTTTTGCCTGCTAGAAGTTGATACTTTTATGATAGAAATTGTAATTAAGGATGGACGCAAATCCCAGTCATCTAAAAGGCCACTTTGAATTATCTGCTGATTTAAAATAAACTTGAGTTAGCCTACAAAAAGTGGATATGAATAAAATAAAGATAAAACAGTGAAATGTGTCCTTGCATCAAAGGAAAAAAAATGTGAACAGTTCAGTTACACATATGGTTAACAACCATCCCTGTTCCTCCCTCTCACCATTGCTAGGTAGAACTCTAGGTAGGTAAACAAAGTCATGAAAATTACCTGCTACATCATACTTGACACTTAATATTATTTTGAATGAATAAATAAGTGTTTCAGTATGAATTAGAAGCCTTAAATCAGAGGTTGGCAAATCCTGTCCATAGAGTGCTACACTTGCAGTGATTCTGTGGGACATTTTACAGAATGAGCTAGGCCTTGGATGCATTATAAACTTGATAAGCTTCATCTCTTATATTTTATATTATTTCCAAGTCCATCTAGTTTACTTTAAGGCTCCAAATTGCACTTATATTATCTGGGTTGAATTGTATCTCCCCTAGAAAGATATAGTGGAGTCCTAACCCCCAGTTCCTCAGAATGTGACCTTACTTGAAGACAGGGTCTTTCCAGAGTTAATTGAAGTTATGTGAGATCATTGGGCAGGGGGGTCCTACTCCTATATGACTCAGATCCTTATAAAAAGGACAAAATCTGGCCACAGAGACAGACACACTTGTAGGGAAAATGTCATGTGAAGATTAGCACTATGTTGCCACAAGCCAAGGGATGTCCAGAAGCTGAGGCCTGGAACAGATCCTTCCTTAGCACCTTTAGAGGGTTCATGGCCCTGCCGACAACTCGATTACAGACTTCTGACCTCCAGAGCCATGAGACAATACATTTCTGTTGTTTTAAACCACCAAGTGTATGGTACTTTGTTATGGCAGCCCTAGGAAAGGTGTACAATCACCCTAGGAGAATTTTCTTTGTTCCCAAATGCAATCTGTAACTGGGACATAAAGTAATCTCACAATTCTTGTTATCTGTCTGAAGAAACTATGTTACATGTTTGTTTTACCATTATCTAGATAGAAAACCATCAGAAAAGGGAATTTTATGAAAACTCTTGCAACCTCCATCCTGAACCTCATTTTCCAGTGTTCATATTATTTCTGGCAACAGTGTACGGAGGCAGCTGTGGCAAAACTGCTTGAATCACAGGGGTCCAGCCTCATTCTACCCTTGCTGGCTAGAGGTCCTCATTCTCCTGTAGGCCCCCTGCCTTCACCATTCTGTGCCTCAGTCGCCTTGCCTGTGAAATGGGATCCTAATTAATGTGTAGTAATTATGAAGAATCCATGAGATAATACAAGAAAGGTTATAGAATGGTGCTTGGTACCAAGTCAGTGCCCAGTAAATGTTAGTTTTTACACTTAGCTGCTAGTAATCCATCCTTTAACATGGATTATTAACCATAAATTGGTTTTGCTCTGACATCATTTGCCTTGATTAGTGCTTGATTGAGAGATTGTGTGTGTGTGTGTGTGTGTGTATGTGTATATGTGTGCGTGTGTATTTTTTTCTTGGAGACAGAGTCTCTCTCTGTCACCCAGGCTAGAGTGCACTGGCACCATCTCAGCTCACTGCAACCTCCACCTCCCAGGTTCAAGCGATTCTCCTGCCTCAGCTTCCTCAGTAGCTGGGATTACAGGTGCCCGCCACCACACCTGGCTAATTTTTGTATGATTAGTAGAGATGGGGTTTTACCATTTTGGTCAGGGTGGTCTTGAACTCCTGACCTCAGGTTATCCACCTGTCTTGGCCTCCCAAAGTGCTGAGATTACAGGCATGAGCTACTGTACCCAGCCAAGATTCTACATATTTTTAGTAAGGTGTTCTGTGACTTCAGAAAGGTCATATTTCAGCTCTAGGTGGCACCTTTCAGACTTTTCAGCTGACTTAGAATATTAAAGACATGAAAAAATGAACATTTTGTTGTCTATCAAATTTAGTCATTAACACAGTTTTTAGGTCTGTTTCAAGGATATTCTTGCTTGATAAAATTTAGTACAATAAAGTACATGGACTGGGAAAATGAACCCATTTCAATATTAACTAATAATGGCACTGAACAAGCTTTTGATTCTTTGTACGTTTAAAATGTGTAGTTATAGCATGATTCAAAACTACTTTTCCTAGCATCTCTGTCATGCTTCCGTGTCCTGTGCCTTCCCTGAATGCTTTAGCTGGTCCCAGGGAGATGTGAGAATTGTCTGGTGAGGGTGACAACAGATTGTGGTGTCAGGCTGGAATCTAAAGACTTGGTCTTTATTAGAAGAAGCTGCCAGGGCCCAATCTTGCACCAGTAAGAAAATAATGGGCAACAGATCAGTAGCATTACTTTTTTCAGCAGCACTTTTGGTGGGTACAGGATGAACAAGTGTTCCTTCAAGTGGTAATGAATGGTGGAATTCATATGTAAGTAATCTGAGTGCCCATAGCGTTTTCCAATTCATTACCTTCACTGGAAATTTTCAGGGAGGGTTAGTTACATACACAGTTGGAAAAGGCTTTAATAAAGAGATAAGGGACCTGGGTAGTATGAATAATTGGTTTTTGTTTCGTTTTGCTCTCCGAACCACTAGAAGCTACTTGTTCAATAAAGACATTTTCAGCTTTGAACGTGAATGCTTTGAAGAACACAGGATTTTAGAAAATATTACTAGCATGGGGAAATGTCAGTAAATTTGAAAGATTTAACTTTTCAGTATCATTCACTTCCACAGGAACATACAACTTATGCAATTCATCATCGTCTGAGTCTTGTTTAATATTTTCTTAGGATAAAGGCCTTCAGATTGGACAGTATGTTCTTGTTTGTGATTGCTACTCAGATTCCAGATAGTCTCTACTTTAACATATTTCAAGGATAAAAAACACCAAAAGCTTGCCTAGGATAAGAACTCCTTTTGTACAGTGGGAACATGCATGCTTTTGATTATGTTTGTCATCATTTCCTAACAAGGTATTTCCGTTACTTAAAGCTTCAGTGGAACATAACTTATGAGAAAGTATACAGTTATGAAGTTTTAAAGGTCAGCTGTGTTTTCAATTATTTCTTGGGAAAAAATGTTTATTATTAGGTTAAGAAAAATACTGTTTTGTAGCCGTGACTACCAGTTCAGACTGCAAGGTTATATTGCTAATACTTAGAGGGAAAATAAGTGGAAGTCATCCTCAAAAGAGAGTAAGGCCCTCCAAAACAAACACCACCACTGTTTTCTCAGGTTTGAGCCAATCAGATATTTATCACTTATGTTTTGGGGGTGTTGGGTCAAAACAGGGACATATTCTAAAACCTTAAACCTCATTGGGAAGAGGAGACAAAATCAAATGTAAAGTGACACACAGAAGAGGAGTGTCTATGGTGTGGGTCATGGTCACATATGCACATGAGGGGTAGAGCCAGTGACCCAGGCAGTCAAAGGAGGAGCACCCCGGGCAGCTATCAAGAAGTGGGGTATACACTAGGCTTTGAGGGATAGGGCCAATTTGGAATGAGAGAAAAAAGGGCTAAGTCCACTCCTGGCTTAGACACTGAAAGTGCAGTTCTTACCAAAGGGCCCAGATGTGGTTTTCATACATTTGAGGGGAGACATCTGCTCCATTACACTGTGTCCATCTGAGTGGGAAAGCTGAGACTAGTTTTCATAGTGAGCCTTCAGTCAGTCAAACCTAGAGAACTCGGCGAAGTTTATGGCCCAGTATTTAGTGAGCTGTTTTGCTTTAGTCAGTGAGGTTGAAGGATGAAATCACAGTGATTGATTGACCACAATCCTGATGTGTGTGTATTTCATCTGGTGCAGATGTTCACAGGTGCACAGAACCAATCCGTGAGATGATGTGTGTTAGTGGCTGTAGAAAAGTGGGAAGAATGAAAATGCACTTCTGCTGTAAAAGTAAAAATGGTGATTGTCCATTAACTTCAGGATTGCATTTGTCATGGGGTGAGGGATGTGCGATGAAGAGAGAAGACCAGTCTGAAATGGCTCCAGTTCTGCTGGCATGTGCCTGTGTTCTGGGTGGTTGTCAAGCCGGAAATGAGACATTCATGGCATACGTCAAGTTTGTGCTTTCTCTCGGTTGTGTTACAATCATTAATTTTGGCAACATAGCAGAAAATATAATCAGAAAGACATACTAGTCCTAGGAAAATGAGGGAAAAGAACATTCTTTGACACTCGCTGCCTCTGTACCTTGTCCTCTAACATGTTCTGCCTTTGGGCTCTATGTGTGGGATAATCTGGATGAATGTTTTTCTGCTGTGTAAGATTCTCTGCCTCCATCTTCATGTGGCCTTTCCCTGTGTCTCTGTGTCCTTTTCTTTTATACAAGGACTTTGTCATTGAAGTTAAGGTCTACCCTAATCCAGTATGATCTTGTCTTGATCCTTTAATTAGCCCTATTTCCAAATAAGGTCACATTCTGTGGTTCTAGGTGGACATGGATTTGGGGTGACACTATTCAACCCACTACAATCCTATTTTGAAGCTGGAATAGAATCAAAAAAGATATTTCTGATTCATATTAAAACAAATTATCTTGCAGAAATGCCCTATAAAAGTGCATGCTAACATTGAGTCCTACAGCTGTTTCCAATAAAAATGACCAAACCCTCCATGACAAGGCAACTGTTCAGTAGTATCTGAAGTGTGATGTCAGTGCCGCTCTGCTTTGGTCAGATGATTTTCCATCTGGCTGGCTGAGCCCTCACCTTGTTTTGACAGCAAGAAAAACTGCCAGTGATTGAGAATCCTTTTCTTCATTGGAAGGAAGGAAGCAATAAATAGACGACAGATGAGTGGATGCCTTTAAACTCTAATACTCCATTCTGAGGTTTACTTGGTCCCCTAAGTCAGTACGCGCTAAAGTACTTTCACATGCTGGCTGTGACCATCAGTGCACAGCCTGTCTGCAGGTATTTGGTTTTAAACTGACTGGTTTTCAACTTTTAGTCTAGCCTTGGAACTTTTTTAAAACTTGTGTGAGTAAGTAGAGGCAAAACAACTCAAATGTAAGAGAACAGGGTCTGACCCCAATTCATTGGTGCCCCTCCCCTCTACCCTTCCCCTCAAGCTCCTCTGCCTGGGAGGCTCTGAGGAACCCACTGGGAAGGGAGTTCTGCCCAGCATCTTGTGAGATTTGAGCATCTGTTTCTCAATCCCCTGGTTGTCATCATTGTTCTTTAACAGCATCTGGAAGGAAAAGAGCTGTTTACAAAAAGTCATGCATGGCCTTTGAGCATTCATTCGACAGTCATTTCCTGAGCACCTGCTTTGTGTCAGACATTGTGTCTTCCCAGGGCTGGGGGTACAGCCATGAGTAAAGGTGACAGTGCCCTTCCACTATAAATGACCCCCCACAGGGTAGGTCACAGGTGACAGGCCTCTTACCCTTTAGTTCAGTGTTTTAGGGCAACTGTTCACTACGCAGGAAACCATTAAACCTCCAAATCTTTTGAGAAACAAGGAGGGGACAAGGGTTGGGTCTTAAATTTTCATGAGGAGCCGGGCACGATGACTCATGCCTGTAATTCCAGCACTTTGGGAGGCCGAGGCAGGTGGATCGCCTGAGTCCAGGATTTCAAGACCAGCCTAGGCAATATGGCAAAACCCTGTCTCTAAAACAAAATACAAAAATTATCTGGGTATGGTGGCATGTACCTGTAGTCCCGGCTACTCAGGCAGGCGAAGTGGGATGATCGCTTAAGCCCAGGAGGCGAAGGTTGCAGTGAGCCAAGATTGCACCACTGCACCCCAGCCTGGGTGACAGAGCGAGATCCTTTCTCAAAAAAAAAAAAAAATTTGTGAGGAAGCCTGAATGGGAATGAAAACAAATCAAGAATCAAAAGCAGAGGGCTGTGTCTTTTAGTCTCTTATTCTTACACCGCATGAACTTTATTAAGAACTAAAGTCATGGGATGGCAACCCATGGGCACACACTGAGTACAAACTTGGAAAATTGCACCAGCATCATTAACTCAACTGGGGTTGCTTTGTGTTAATACTGTGTTTCATTCACAGATGTCAACAATAAGAGAACACATCTCTCTATATATAATTGTTATCAACATTTTAAATTTTAAGGAAAACAGAAAGACGCAAAAGTACGAAGACTAAACTCACAACATCCTACCAGCAGAGAACACTTAGGATAGCTAAGATCCCAGTGTTTGTTCAAACTTCATACTCAAACACTCAGATTTAGGCAGGAAGTTGGACATCTGTTGTGTCACCAGATCTGTCAGTGAAGCTGACTATATAGTCTTGGAACAAATTTAGAGTAATGTGACAGTGGTCTGGGAACTCTCACTGTGAGCTCTGCCCTCTGGATGCAGAGGCTCCGAGGCACTCAGCAACCACACATGTGGGATCATCTCCTCCAGATTAAAAAAAAAAAAAAAAAGAGCCAGAGGATTGGTAATGGGTACAAGGCTGCTCATGGATGGCAGAGGGACTGTGTTGTGCTAATGTGGAAATGCCAAGGCTTCAGAAATGTACCCATTGAATGAGAGATTCTTCAGCCAAATTCTACCTTTATTGGAAAGCCTGGGCAGTGCCGTCAGCCCACCCACTGCCTGCTAAAGGTTCGTAGGAAGAGGCAAATGGGAAAGGCCCATATGTACTTACAGACTGAATATATCTCACCAGTCTTTACTGCCCATATCAAAACCCAGTGTCCTAGGTCACCTTCGCTCTTCCTTCTAAAAGCATGAAGCTAAGCTTTCCGTCAAAGTCAGGTTCAGTCATCCCCGGACAGAGGCAGGAGAAACACAGAAATGCCCCCAGGGAGAAGCTAGTCCCCAGTGGGGCTTTCACCCTGACCTGAGTGCCAGGAACACACAGAGTTCTTGTGGAAATAAGAAGCTGTCATGGCAGTTGTCGAGTGCTTTCTCTGGTGTTTGGTTCATCCACTCCCACGCTACTCCAGCACAACTCAGTTTAGGGGGCATAGAATTTAAACACCTGTGAGAACTGAACAACTTATATGCTGATGTTTCAAACTTGGCAGAAAGACCAAAAATTAGAAACAAATGCTTGCTGGCCTCCATTCATTTGCATATTAGGCCGATATTTTGGTTTTGCATTGCCCAGTGAGTCAATCATATATTTTTTCCATGGGTGGGGTAACAGTTACGCAGCTTTTATTGTGTTTGATAGTCATTGGGCTTATTCATATATTACGTCCTTAGGTAAAAATAAATTGCGGATGTTCCAAGACAGCAACAGCCACATATATTTTTAATAATGTTTCCAAGCTTATAAAACTCCTTCCCTCCAATGCCATGGTGATGCTTATAAAGTGCAGGATTTATGCAAGCAACTATGCATGGCCTTATAAATATCTTTCCATTCACACTTGATTAGCTCAGTATGGTATTCTGTTCCAGGTATTAGTGCAGGGAGGACCAACAATGGAAGAATGATTTATTTCCTTGTTTAATTTCCCTACAAGCATCTTCACTTCTTATGTCGTGTCGTTTCTCTTGGTAGCCATAGTAGCCATAGATATGTGTTTTCTGCTATCAACTTCTCTCTTGACAGAGTCGCTTACAGGAGCTATGGAAATTGGCTAAATTTTACCTTATGCAGCATTGTCTCACTGATATTTTTATGTTGCGGTTTACATAAGAATAAAAATTATAATATTGGGACTTGCCATAGTAAAAGACAGAGGTTAGAGTAAATTGAATAAATATTTCTAGCTTTAGAAGAATCCATTTAAATTAGTAGGATTAAAAGTATGCAGGCCAGGAACGGTGGCTCATACCTATAATCTTAGCACTTTGGGAGGCCGAGGCCGGCAGATTATGAGGTCAGGAGTTTGAGACCATTCTGTCCAATATGGTGAAACCCTATGTCTACTAAAAATACAAAAATTAGCTGCATATGGTGGTGTGCGCCTATAGTCCTAACTACTCAGGAGGCTGAAGCAGAAGAATCGTTTCAACCCGGGAGACAGAGGTTGCTGTGAGCCAAGATTGCACCACTGCACTCCAGCCTGGGCAACACAGTGAGACTCCATCTCAAAAAAAAAAAAAAAAAAGTATGTAATGATACCACTTGCAGTTTAACATAGGCCAACCTGTGAAGTGAAAAATCAAATCCCATAGTGAGAAAACCAACCCATTATGGCAGATTTTTTGATATAGCAGGAAGATTAGAAGTCAAAGGACTTAATTCCATTTGTAGAATTGCCCTTCCTTTGCCCTTTATCTTCAGCAAGTGTTGACTCATTTAACCTTTCCTTGCTTGGTATGATTTGCGTTTTGAATCTGTGGAAGGATCATCAATCATTGATCATCATTGCATACTATGGTTGCTAGCACTTTTTCTTTTCAAGGTTACCTAAAATCAATACCTCTTCCAAAGGAGTGTTTTTTTCCCCTACACCACCTCATTCGTGGTAGTAAGCACTGCTTGCAACACTAGACTTTCCAGGAAGCTTTTCATTTCCATGCTGGCCTGGAGCAGTGCTTGAAACCAAGCAAGCTCCATCAGCCATTCTGAGCTGGGCAGGTGGTGGCTGGGCCATGCAGATGAAAAGAGAGAACCCCAGGTGGTTTCATTTCTCTCATTTGTTTTCAGGGCTCGTTGCAGAGGTTTGGTAGTTTGGAGTGACAAGTTTCCTTGTGGCTCTTTGCTGTTTCTTTTTTTTTTTTTTT